TATTTTCACACTTACGGTCATTGCAGCATCCCCAGGGGTTATGAGATCAAAATTCAGATGCTTGGCACCTGGTTCATATTTATGACAGTTGTAGTTTCTCAATGTCATGTTATCCTGACAAGCAAAGTCAATGGGGAAGCCAGATTCACTTAACAACTGTGTTACTAACTTAAGAGTTGCAGTGATTCATTTAACAACTATGCAAAAAAGGTCATTAAACAGGACAAAACTCATTTAACAAATGTTTTGCTTAGCAATAGAAACGTTGGGCTCGATTTTGCTCATAAGTCAAGCACTACCTGTAATGCTCTTTTGCCAGATATATGAGTATCAGATCTTCTCTTAAGAAGTAACTTGTTGGAAGCAATTCAGTCCCTGAACAATTCCAAGAACACCCCTAGTTCACTCTATCTCCTTTACAAGAGACTGCAACAGTGTTTCCGTTTTAACAAGGATCAGGCAGTGGGATTAAGCACTATGACTAAGAGAACCTAATAAGCTAAAGTTGGGGTTGTCAAAATCTATGCTAGCTAGTTCAAACAAGAACTGGGGAAGCAAGCCAGTACTATGATTAGTGGTAACCCTCTGATCAAAGCTTCTGCGAAAATCATATTTCAGTCAAAGGCTTATTCTGCAATTGCATATTGGATTTTTCATTTTATTACCTGCTGAAAAGAACCACAGGACTTGTTTAAAAGCCACCCACTCAGTATCTACTCCTTACAATTCAGCAAATGCTATGTTACCTCTGGGATAAAGGGAAAAAAATCAGCCTGCTGCAATTGCACAACATAAGTAAAACGCATACTTCAAAAATTTCATCTGGGAAGAGCCCCTGATTCTAATTTTGCACAGGTTGAAAATACCATATCAAACATACACATGTAGTTTGGCATTCTCACTCGTTAGATATAAAACTTCAAATGAATTGCTGAACTATAAAAGTTAATGAAATAAATTCATATCTGAAAAAAGATAATATCTATTTGGAGACCCCAGCTCTGTGTTATTTTGGTGGAAAAAAAGCCTGTTATACATAATGCAGAATGGGACAATTACAGAAAGGGCAGAAAAATTAGGGTCATTAATTTTATCTTTTATTTTTTGTCAGGGCTTTATTTGGATTTTCTGTCACAAGATCTAAAATATCTTGAGGAAGTTCCCAAAAAAGTAATTAACTCAGGAGAAGTTATCTAACAAAATAAAATACATGAGATGCTTAAAGACTTATACAAAAATGAAGCAGCCCTCTTTAAAAATGCTTCATCTTGCGCTGAAAAGAGGAATGGATTTCTCCCAACTTTGTCAACTAATACTTTTTAAAATATAAAATATGAAATGCTTAAGAGAATACAGGCACTCTATTCTTAATATTCATTATATAGACACCTTCTTTTTAAAAAACCCTCTCCACTGAGGAAAAAAAAAACAGGTTTTAAAGAATTAAAGTAGGAACATGGTTAAAGTAAGAGTTCTTCATTCAAGTATTTTTAAAATTATATTCCAATATTTGGCTTCTTCCATAGGACATATTCTATTAATCCATTAACACTTTTTCTCTCATTTTTCTGCCCATTCTTTATTCTGTTTGTCTGTCACAGATGAAAAACTTAAATTCAAGTGCTTTTTTTATTTCAGCAGAAAGGATATATTTTCCTTCAATACTATGAAGAAAGAAATTAATTTTATTTTCCTATTTAGTTATAAATACTTCCAGATCCAATTTTATTAAAGGCTAATCATGGGATAATGCCACTGAACAGAATGAACTGTTCAGTTATAGCCAACTATGATTTTCTTCAGCTTTGCTATATGCTTTAAAAGCTTAGCTTTTATTACTCTGACACCACATGCTTTGTTTCCCAAAGAAAAGAAGAAAGGCCTTAGACATAACAAAATCCGCTGAGGATGTATTGATATGCAAGTCTTGACAGGAATGAATTTCTCATAAGAGCAGGGTGGACATCAAGCTTCACTGGCACTTGAGAAGAAAATACTATATCTAAAGTGTTGGGAGAGAGAGGCAAAAAAAAAAAGATGAAAATAACCCCACATTCAAAGTATTTCTAACAAATGCTGATCTCAACTGATATTAACAAATCTGCTTAAATTCTAGGTTAGAAATTATTCTGGTACACCCCTTCTTCCTTGTGAATATAGTTTTCTCTTTTGTCAAGCATTTCTCAATTCATAAAATTAGTAAACTGACATGTAAAGAGTGTCATGACTAGCATTCCTCTCAAAGCAAACCTTACGGATGGTTCTGACTTCTTAATAGGAGGATGAAATGAATCCCTGCACTTTTCTCAGGTTGCTGCACTACAAGGCAAACAAGATGCTGTTACAGGAGTTTAGTCCTTTCTTTCATGTTTGATGATGGACACCAGGGCTAATTTTATGGTAAGTAAAAACTACCACTAAGTACCAAATGACAGGCATTGTTTAAGTTATCCATGATTTACTTTCCAAACTCTGGAAATCCCAATATATCACAGCCACGTGATAAATGCAGCATAATTTTCTATAATGCAAAAGCTGAACAAAAAGCAGCTTCCTCTCTCCACCTTTGTTACCCAAAATACCATATTTTCTTTGTTTTATTCTTCCTTTTCCTCCTCTTGACATTTTGTTAAATCACTTGTTTCTATATATAAAACAAGGCGTGCAATAATAAAACCTACACTCATCAGTTTTTAGATAACATGATTATTTTTGCACATCCACAAAATTTGTTACAGCAGTGTAATTTCCTTTCATTATTTCATCGATGGCTGTGCTTTTTCTGATGACTTTGCACCATTTTCTACCATTAATGAGTTCCTTACTTAAGGCTACGATGCATTTTGCTGAATTTTTTAAATACTATTGCACCCAAGCAAGCCAAAGCAATGCACTTTAAGACATGTTCTACTGATTTTGCCAACTGTATCCGATTGTTTCAGTTCTACCTCCCTCTTCACATGCTTCTAAAACAAAACTCCAATTCTTAAATAATTAGTGTGTAGATGTGCGTATATACTTGCGTGTATATATATATGTATGCTTTACACAAAGAAACATATACACACACATACATGCATGTTTCATAAATTTAGTGCTTCATGGCATTTCGTGTAACTGGTTGCAATATTTTAGTTGCAATAAATCACTAGCTGTCTTCAACTTCAGAAGATAACTTTAAAATCCTGGATATTTCAATACCAACTTCTATATTTACATATGAGGGCTCATTTTACAAGGTTATATGAAGCAGCTCCACCCAAAGGCACTGAGTCAGATCAAACGATGACAGCAGTCTAATTTACTTGGGCTCAGAAAATCACATTGCTCTTCTGATGCATCAAATATAAGCACTGAAGTGGGCCAATTCAATTCATTGGCTGCTTTGCCGGGCATGCATAGAAACCCCTTTTAGCGTGTTGATCAAAACTGTGAGACTGTTACCTTATTAGTTGAAGCAGTGCTACCAAGGGCATTTTGACCAAGATTTTATCAAGCTGAAGTACTCCTCTGAAGCTCTGAAAAGCTTTATTTATCATGATTTTCAAAACTATGTTTCAAAAAACTATGTCCAAGGTAGCCTAAGGTCTACTAAGTGTGCTGAACTTCAATTTCAGCTCTGGAAAAGTTAATTAAAACGGATGGATAGTTCAGCAATTCATTTTTATTTATTTAACAAATCTTATATAGCTGTCCAACATACCCATGGTGACTCCAGGCAGCTTACAGAAATAAAAATTCCAAATACAAAATCCACATATCCCTGGTAAAAACAATTAATCTTATTATCCTGATGCCCAGAGACTCACTGGCAAACCCATGTCTTCAAAGCCTTTTGAAAGAGTGTCCAAGTGTGGGGGGGGGGCAATCTTATTTCTGTAGGCTAATGTTCCATTGGGAGGGAGCCTTCACTTAGAATACTCTTCTAATTCACCCATTATTCAGTAGTTCATTACATCATATTGACACCATAGTTTAAATCTTAAGGCCTGCCTACATCAATAATACTTGATGGGTACAAGGTACAAGAATGCAAAACAAAAATAACTGATTAAGATTTGCCTTGATTCGTGGTATAACCAAACTTATTGTAAGTACAAATCCAGTTTTAGCCAATTTTAAATGACTGTGAGATATTAATTGATTGAAAAAAGGGAAAAAGCATATTCTAATATTCCAAGGTGCAATATCATCTACTTTACATATATAGAAAATGACTGGGAGGACAGTATCTCTTTGATATTTATTAAATCACATATATCTTTTTTTCAGTTCCTGTTCAGCCTGAAAAAAGATGCTGTTGCTCCAGTGAACTGTATCATTAAACAGAGTGTCATTGATATAACTCTTAAATCAGCAGTATCTTTTTTGAGGTTCAAACAGAAACCTGAAAAATGACCCATGTGCTTGAAGAAAAATGGAGAGGAACACCATAAATGCAAGGTACAAATCATTCTTCCCAATCATTTTCTATGCCAATTGACAACTGTAACTCTAATATAGATAATCCTTAATTTATGATTATTTAACAATGGTTCAAAATTATGATGGTCTTGGAAAAAGTGTACAGTCTGCACTTACCATCTTACAATTAATGCTCATTCCACAGTCATATGTTTTAAATTGGGCGCTTGGCAACCAGCTCATATTATAACCAGCTGCGATGTTCTACAGTCACAATTGTGATTTGTGACCTTTCTTTGTTAATATCTAGCAAAAAAACCTCAATTGGGAAAGCTGGACTTTTGATAGTAAAATTGGGTCTGGTCATGTGATGACTAACTTTATATCCTTTGGCTTCCCAACACTCCCTCCCTCAAACTTCTATGTTGCCCAACTTGCAATGATTTTTATTAAATTTTGAATACCCACTCTGAATTTAATAAAACCAGAGGAAAGAACGAGAAGCAGCAATAATTGGTTTGAAATATAAAAACATCTAAAATTATATATTTTCCAGAACTCTGGCTATTTAGACTTCAACAGAGTACCAAACTTACCTAGTTCTGGAGGCAATACTGTAAGACGGTTTCCTTGGATATGAAGTTCTTTAAGTTGTGTGAGTTCCCCAATTTCTTTTGGGAGCGATATCAAGTCATTATCCCTAAAGCTAAGCTTTACACAAAGTAAAAGAGTTAAAGAGTTAATCAGAGACAAACAACTGCCTATACAAAATACACTCAAACAGGACATACTGCATATGTACAACATGCTAAGCTTAATTAAGACTTAATTGTGCTTGAACTGAATACGTGGTTTATCATGTAGCATAAATCCGGACTGCTCAAATTACAATTATATATATATATATATAATAGGTCAATTTAGTAAGGAGATTAAGTGTATGACATGATGAAGTTGTCAGGTCAATTCTCAGCTGAAAAGAAGTAGATCAAGACTTGCCAGAAACACAACTACCTCTTTTCCTTTTTGCTATTTCACTCCACCCATTCTTCCGATATATGCATAAGTACTTGCTGATTAAAAATAGACAATACAGGAGCTGATAACTCCTACAAACTCCCATGACTTCTTGCAAATTGATTTGATTCTACTCAAACTAGGACTGCAAAAATAAATTGATTCCCCCCCCCCCAAGAATTTAGATAAATTACTTACTATCTGCAACTTTGTGAGCTTCCCAATATCTGATGGCAGGGTTTCAAAATCGTTGTCACTTAGATAGAGTGCACGCAGGGTGGCTGCAAATTAAACAGCAATATATAAACAGGGTGGCATACAACCCGACCATTTGAGACCTGATCAATGAAAATGTGTCAGGTTTGATTAATAACCCTGACTCGGTGAAAAGCCTTTGACAAACCCAAGGCTCACAATAATAACAAGCAGGTCAAACTTAGATTTACTGGCTTATGTACTATTGCTCTCCTCAGGAAAACATCTATATCCAAAAGGGCCGACATAATTAACAAATTCTACTACATTGCTCTCTGGCAGGTTGTAGCACACCACCGCAATATTAATTTGTCAAGCCAGAAATTATCCAAGTTTATTATTAACCATTATTCAAATTAGCATCCATAATCTCCCTAAAAGGACTACTTTGTATACATCTGTTAGGTTTGTGAAACAAGAAGCTATAACATCTTTTTTTTTAAATAGACTAGGATATTATTTCTCAAATGTGCAGAAGAAATCAGTGAGACACAATTCCTCTCCCCAGATGAGGAAGGAGCCCTCAAGAGAGAGAAAACAGCAAAGAATGAAGGCAATATGAAGCCTCCAAGAGCATTCTGACAGAGAGCTTCTTGAGTCAAAATACAATAAAACAACGTTATGAGCTAGTTAGCTCCCAAAAATTATTTGGGTGTAATTTGAGGGTTCAGCTTAAGGGAAGATTATGCATATACTGGTAAATACTGCTTCAGCTCATTAGCACACACTCATTAATTGGATGTATTTCCTAATTGAGGCTTGTGGAAATATAGTCCCCATAGTGGCAAGCATTGCTTCCCATCTAATTAGCCAACAATTATTATTTTACAATATTTAGCTAATCAACATGCATTTACAACCATTTTTATTATATCAGAATATTTGCAGTATTGTTAGCAATATTGTTGCAATGTTTTATGTACTTAATTATGTTTATTGATAATATTGTAACACAATCACTATATTGTATCTTCTTTTTTGGGGGGAAAAACAGTCTTTTTTTCCTGATCAGATTCTTTGATAAAACATTTGGTGAATTTAAAGTATGAAATATTGAGAAACTGGTGCACTAGAACATCACAGAAATAAAAAACTGTTTATGTATCATAAAAATCTCTTTATTTCCACAATGAAATAGAAAGTAGAATCATTTTAAAAGAACAAAGATTTAAATAATTTAGGTTAATTGTATTTTTTTTTTTCATTCTGTCCATTAGTTCTTAAACAAACTGAATAGTTCAAGAAATATTTCAATCATTCTAGCGATAGAGCCTTAAGAAAACAGTTTATAGAACATTAATGAAACATTAGACATTTAAAATGTCTAAGCACATTTCCAAAACAGTAATTATATTCAAAACTGAGCAGATTATCCCACTCATACTTAGGGAAAAGCAAATTTATTTTAGTTTCTCATTTTCAAGCTTCAAATTGTTCTATTCCATTTCTGTCCCAACCTGTGTATTTTTTTTTAAATAATCAGATCTACACAAAATATTCCCATATATTGAATATAGGTTTTGCAAGAATATTTATTTTTAATTAAATTGAGTTTTTGAATATAAATAAAGTTTCATATTCTGTCACAATCTCCACATAATGATAATGGAAAAGGGGAAAAAAGATGGCTTCCTTATCTGTTCCTTTGTTACAACCAAGTTTTGTTTCAATTTTTATATGTTTCTTAATTTCTGATTAGGGGAGGCTAGCTTGAGATTGTGATTAGACATAGCAATGGGCTCTAATCTTCCATCCTAAACTCAGTATAAATTGAAATTATAGTGTTTCACCATTGTTTTTCAAAGAAAAAACAATGTCTGTGTGGGAAAATTTCTGTATTTGAGATCCTGTGATTTCACTGAGCACCATATCAGAAATGATATGCTTAGCAAATGGCACTTTCAAAAATAAAGCTTAACGTGCTTGTACTATATCTGTCTATGTCTATCTCTATATGCACCTATCTAGAAAACAGAAGAAAACATCACTGAAGTAAATGCATTTGCCAGAAGATACCAAATCCTAATTGAGAGCATGATATTTATAATACATATAACTAAGAGTTATTAAAAGAAAGTAAATCAGAACTTGGTTGCTAGCTAGCATTCCATGACACAAACAGCAGCTCTTGTAATGGTCCCAACAGAGAACTGCATTTCCCAAATTTCATTTTACAAAGGAAATATGAGTGAAGCGCAGCTTATCACACACACCTGTTTGTCCATTTATTTCACAAATATCAGGTGACTATAGATCAAAGAATACAAATCACCAAGCTATGTAGAAATATTCAAGAGGACTCGTAGGAGGGGACATATATCTCAAACATTCTTTTTAGAACAGTCTTTCTGAAATAAATCAGTTGGAGAAAGCAAACCAACTTTTCAAGATGATTTAAAGTTTTATTTAAAAAACAACAACAACCTATTTCTTACTTAGATAGAAGAAGTTTCCAGGCAGGGACTTTTCATTTAAATTATTGTAAGTCAAATCAAGAACTTCCAGAGCTGGTAAAGAGCCAAATCCTCGGGGCAAAGTGTTGAGCCTATTCATCCTAAAAATGAATACAGGTTGTAATTTGGTATTATTTTTGATACATAAGAAATAGTGACATTTTACATTATATCTATCTATCTATCTATCTATCTATCTATCTATCTATCTATCTATCTATCTATCTATCTATCTATCTATCCTGTATCAGTTTTATTATACTTTAAAATCTATATGGACTGTCTTTTCAATAACCATCCTCTTATGAAAAGTCTGGGCAACTCAATGAAGCTGAGTGTTTACTGGCTGGATGTCCTTCCTCTTGCCAATGCTGAGGTTTTTTTTTTCAGGAGATAGTGTGCCCAGAGATATCTGCCTCTAGCTAGGGTCAAATTCACAGCCTCCTGGTTGTGAGGCCACCCTCACCACTTGAGTTTCAATAATACCTTGCACAAGCCCAAACAAGAAGCTAACAATACTATAATAAAAAAACCCTGATCAAATACAAACATACCAAAAGGCAGGAATAATTATATAGACAGATTAATAAATGGGCATTCTTTAAAAAATCAAAATTGTAAGTGGCTTTGATAAGACTTTCAAGATGGATGTCAGCTCTTTAATCGAAGTGGTTAAGGAAATGTGCTTTAATTTAGCAGGGTATTGTAATATGATAGTATCCTTACATCTGTTAAAGCCACTCTCTACTTCAATCTATATCTAACACAAACAAAGTGAATCTCTTTCTCATGCTTACTCAGAGTTGAATATGTGTAATTTCTATCTTATTTCCATTCTGAGAAACTATAAGGCACAAGTGTCAAATTCGTTGTGTCATGTGATGTTTTTCCCATTTGTAGAGCTGTGGTGGGCGTGGCCTAACTGTGATGCAGCCGGCCTGTGAGCCACCAGTTTGACACTCCTGCTGTAAGGTATCTACAGTATTAAGACACAATTTTGTTTTTCAGATTGATACAAAAGGTTGAACACTTTGCTATTTGAAAGAAACAATCTTTTTGTTTCTGTATTTATTTCAGGATAAAATTGCTAGAACATGAATAATATTTGGTAAATATTTTTCAAAACAACTAACTAATGAATAATTTTATTCGACTATATCTTATAAAGAAGCTTCTTTCAGTCTGGTACCTTTTAGATCAGGGATGTCAAACTGGCAGCCCACTGACAAGATGTGTCACATGCAAGCTACACCAACCCAGCTCCGCAAATGGGAAAAATGTCACGAAATGTCATGTGACAGCAATGTAATGCCACAAGTTTGATATCTGTGTTCTAGATTGTTGAGATTATACTTCTCAGAATTCCCAGACAGCATTAGATTGGGAAAGGCAATTAAGAAAAGTTAAAACAAATGACCACAACTGCTATTTACCCAAGATTTAAGTGTTTCAGCTTTTGAAGGCTGCTGATCTGAGTTGGCAGGTCCTCAATCTGATTGTTGAAAAAATTGAGTACTTCTAAATTCCTCAAATCTGCAATATTTGCAGGCACAGCTGCAAAGAGAAAGAAAACACCATCAAAAGCAAGATAGGACACAAAAACCACACAGTTCAACTAATGGAAAATTTGTTTAAATAATACAGTACAAACACACTGGCAACAGCAAAATCAGTGAATGCTAGATATGTTGTCATTTTCAGGGGAATAATATCTTGTCTTTGGATTGTTAATAGCTTTTGATACTTGGCTTAATCTGTTGGTCCTCAAGTGATTTTGCATCCAATAGATGGATGCAACTTACACTAATCACAGCATATGTTCTGGCAGCAACTTCTTTCAGCATAGTGTAATATTTGGTTTGCTCCCAGTTATAAAGCAATTTTAAGCCATCATTAGTTGTATCCATTCTATTTTCAGTATGTTTGTTGGCTCAAACATGACTTATGACAGTTCATGTCTATTTTACTACTAAAACTTTCCTGTTTTTGTAATCTTCAACTACCTGAACTTGTGAATCATAGTATAACAATTTAAAATCAAGATATCTTAAATACAATAACTTAAAGAATGTGTATAAAATCTGGGATTTATTCCTGGATTTGAAATTTAAAGCATTTTCAGACCAATTGTATTTATAAAGTTGTGGTCATTATAATACTGTTACAAATGCTACAGTCACATGATCATGATTTTCAACACTCCTGAAAAGAAAAAAAGATTTGCTCTCAGAATCAGCAACTCTACTAAATTCTGAATGGCTTTTTCTACAAAACAGTTTTCACTGATTTGCAGAAGATTGAAAGGAGACAGGGCAGGGGACAAGATATTTTAACACATGAGGATTATATTTCAGGCCCAACCTCCTGAATTCTTGTGTGGAGGGGCCCTCAACATCCCCTATCTACAGGCAAACAAGGATTGGAGAGATTCTACAGGAGGCACTCAAGAGCATGAAATAGTGATCTAGTCATGTTGTGATGAGGATGCGAATCTCAATCACTAAGACTTCTTGATTTATCTAGAGTTTAACTAATACAGATATCAAATATGAAGCTAATATTAGTTAGTAAAAATATTGATGGTTTTAGGTCTTATTTAGCTCATACTTTGTGACAGCTAAGAGAGTTGTGTATAATTCATTTTAGTAAAGGCTTTAACCTTTGATGAGTACACCAGAATTTACACTTCAAAAATGGCAGAGGCAGGGGCAACTTTACATCTAATCCCATTAATTTCCAACATAAGCTTAATCAACTTGGACATTTACTTCTGCAATACTTCAAACTACAAATTGGTAGCATCTATAAGAGGTGTGGTAACATATTTTATTAATCATTTTCTGTAAATCCTTTGTACAGCCATTTCGCATAGAGATAAGGATATGCAGGCATTCCTGGTGGGAGTAGGAGTACTTTTACGCAGGAATGTCTCATCCTGTTATCTGCGTACGGGCTTAGAAGGAACAGGGAAATAGGTGATAATTATAGGTACACAGGGAAATAGGTGATAATTATAGGTACACAG